TCCTGGAGAGAGTGCAGCGGAGGGCTACGAAGATGATGAGGGGACTGGAGCATCTGTCCTGTGAGGAAAGGCTGAGGGAGCTGGGCCTGTTCAGTCTGGAGAAGAGAAGACTGAGAAGGGGTCTGATCAATGTGTCCAAGTATGTGAAGGGAGGGTGTCAAGAGGATGGGGCCAGACTCTTGTCCGTGGTGCCCAGCAACAGGACCAGAGGCAGTGGGCACAAACTGAAGCACAGGAAGTTCCGTCTGAACCTGAGGAGAAACTTCTTGACTGTGAGGTTGACAGAGCACTGGCACAGGTTGCCCAGAGAGGTTGTGGAGTCTCCTTCCCTGGAGTTATCCAAAACCCGCCTGTGCAATGTGCTCTAGAAGACCTTGCTTGAGCAGGGGGGTGGGACTAAATGATCTCCAGAGGTCCCTTCCAACCTCAACCGTTCTGTGATTCTATGTGATTCTGTGATCGTCACAGGTGCTATTGGTTCCAAAGGTGCGTTAGAGACACTAAGTAGCACTAAAAGTGGTTGGACAGGTTTGAACATGACCATCCTAACATACATAAAGCCTTTTGTTCATATACTTCCACACTAAAAAAGTGATGCGCACTCAATAAAATATCTTTAGTCATGAACTAAAGAGTATATGAGTTTTGACAACACATCTACTCATGGAAGCCAAGAATATATGCAATATTTGCTGATAGCATCCACAGAAAAAACAGTTGAGAGAGAGCAAAACGAATAAGAGCTACTTGAGATAATCAAGTATGCAAGAGACATCACAGCAAATATTTGAAAATGCTGGAATTCAAGTGTAAGTACATACAGACCTACAGTAAAGATGGAAATTATTTTATGGAGAGATCAGAAGGAATTGTGATGCAATGGTATGAGATGACCTAAAGCTTCAAAGAGCAAGATGTCTAAACTGAGAACGCTAAACAAAAGCAGTTTAACACAGCTAGACAGTATGTTGACACAGGCCACAAATCAGGACACAGATATATTGTTGATGGAACAAGGGCAACACAATTGTGTGGCTGTTCCCCTTATCACATAACTCACAACACATATGCCCAACAACCAGTGCTACTACGCGGACCTGCATGCCTACCCTTAAATCTGTGCTTTGTATTCCTGATCAGCTCCTGGCTTATCCTAAATTAGGTCCTTTATCCCAAAGGATCTCACTTTAACAGCCAAACTCAAAAAGGTTTTCTGAAAAGGACTGACCAACAAGATAATGGCAATGTAGACTATAGGTTTATATAATGTTTGTCTTTATGCTTAGGGGTTTTAAGGCCTGGTTTCAACTCCCTATTATTTATAGATAATCACAACTCTGTAATGACCTAAACCATTCTGTCTGGCTATAAAGCTTCTATTTTACTTTCAAGCTGAACAGTCTGACCTCCTATTCTCTAGGTTAGACTGCTGCAGCTTATCCTACAGATATGTCCTGAATCTGTAAGAAATCCAAGGCAGACGTGGAACCAGAGGGCTGCATGTCCCCAGGAGTACACAACACTGATACATCACGAACTGCTGTAACTGCACTCTGCCTTCCTTTCTCATAAAACAAGTTCTTTGCAGTCTTTCTCAGGAATATTTCACTTTTTGTCTCGGCAGACAGCGTCCACCCCTTCTTCCTGAATCTAGCCATGCTACTTGTGCTTTCCTCATAGTGTCTTTTGCTTAAATCCACTCTTAGTTGCAAAATACTTCAATTAGATTTGATCATTCTCATGCTTGATATCATATCTGAAGGCACCTTCTCAGACATCTAAGTTCTAGTGCAATATGCCATACATTTCAAAACTGACTTTGTTATCACAGGATGTCACAAAGGAAAATACAAAAGCCAATCGATACTGAATTTTTCTTTTAATAAATAATGTTAACTATTGAGAAATTCTGTATTTAGACAGAAACTGGTTTTGTTGTGGGAAAATCATGAGGACGGTCATACTTCGCATTTTAAAACCTCCTTAATAGGCTTGTAAAATGAAAGACCAACTGTGTAGCTATTTCTTTGACCTCAGATTAAGCCAGTGTCTAAGATCAGGATGCCTCTAGCAAAATATTTTTTCCATTTGGCACAGCCATAGTTACTGTATCAGAATGCAGACAGTCTTCTCAGACGTTCTGAGCAGAACAAAGGACAGTCTTTTCTACCCCTACCCCTTCCCTACCCCTCCTCATGTATCTTATCCTATTCTTTTTTTTCTTTCTACAGCCACTGCTGAATTTACACCCTTGTCTTTTGGCCAGCAAGCTCAAGGCACACTGCCTAATGCCATTTTATGCATAGATCCAGACTTAGCAGTGAAAATGCAATGTCCCCATCCCCTTCCTCTAGCAGTATTACCCCCAAGTGAAACTGCCCTCTAACCACTTGCAGGTTTGCTCGTAGTTGTTACATGGTAGAGTAGATAATGCTAACAGTTCACTGCCCAGTCAAATAATACTAAGTTAGAATACCAGCTCAAAATATATTTACCAAAAGAAAAGTCCGCACTGTTCTTATTTTGTTAAGGTCAAGCAGAACTTTCTGTGCCTTCTCATGGTTACTGCAGTATTCATCATAGATACGGAATTTCTCTTTCTGCAGAAACAAAGAAATACCTTATTCTTGTCATTTTGATCTTTTTTAAATAAACAAAACATGGAATGCGCTTTTGAAGGCTGAATAACTGATAGAGTCTTCATTCTGGAAGGTCAGCTCCTCTTCTTTCATTTATTTTTGTAGGTCCAGCACTTTTTGTATTTTTTATTTCTTCTTTTAATTAGAATTATAAAGTTGAACAGTCTGGAAATATCACTTGAGGATTTGCTGAAAATTTTCAGAGGCTGGACTATCACAAAAATATAGGATGAAAAAACACAAAGAAAATGCACTAGTTCCATATTTGCAGACATCATTACCTGTTGTGCATGCACAAACACTTGTTTACAAATGTGATCCACACCTCTGCAGAGTCAAGAACTGTTGTCACTCCACTTCTGTAAGTCTTTTCCACTAATCATTAACAATTTTCTCCTCCGTAACAAATAAACATAGATTTAGCAAACAAATGCCACTCTAAGCACAGAGACCAATGAAACCTAGACCTTTTCTTAAGCCCAGGATGGAAAACAGACTAATCGGTCCTCACTTTGCAGAGGTTTGTAACAATGATATCCTTGTGCTCAAATAGGAAAAATAACGCTGCTACGAAATAACTGCTACAGGACATACAAACATACTGGAGGTGTAAGCAATAAAATATCTTCACAGTCAAGAGCCATAGAGGCCAACACAATTCTTTCCTAAATATTCATTTTTGTGTAGAATCAAAAGGGACCAAACCTAAGTCTACTATTATTGTCCCTGTCTCATACTTGTCTTTTCCTAGTTCCGCCAGCTCACATAGTGGCACCAGAAAGCATCCCCCATGCTCTACGACTCTCTATGTCAGTTTTGCCTGGCATCCACTTCTAAAGCATGTCACCCAGCAGGGACTTACACCGAAAGGAGCTTCGGTGAAAGACACAACCCTTGGCCCCAGCAGGTGCCATGGCCCCTGCCCATCCCAAGGCCACAGTTACACTGCTGTAGGACTCAGCATTCCCTTACCCGCCCCTGCATTTTTTTTTTGGCAATGACAATAAACAGGAAATGACCTTAAAGTACCCTAAATTATGCAATCGAGACACAATTTGTCCTCATGACTTTATAACTCGCCACCATGTCACTAATTAATAAAAACAGTCAAAAAGTAAAAACAGTGAAATATAAGGCTTGAATAAAAGATAGCATACATAATGAAGAAAGCAAGTTCCCACTTCATGCTGCGCATTAGGTTCTGGTTGCAAGCATTCCTCCACCAGAGACAGGAAATTTTTGTGAACTGCAAGGATATCTTCGATATTTGAAAACAACATCTGTAAAAGAATAAAGCATACATAAATAAAACAATAGATACAAGAGAAAAGAAGTAAACAATTAGAACACTAACCTTAACTGTCTCTTCTGTGACATTTTTATCCACTTTGGCTGTCGCACACTGGATCATTCGGTGAAGGAAAGCCTGCACAAGACGAGTAAACAAGGAAACAGTTATTTCAGGAGGATTAGAACAGCTTTTGGCACTTTATGCTTGTAATTTGCTTCCCAACTTTCTTACTCGTTGAATATAGAAGCTTGTTAAAATATTATTCTGAATCTCAGACAAATATTTTACTTATAAAGCATCTACTAGCTCTGTTATCCTAAAATGATATAAAATCCTATCTACACAGAGTGTGAAAAGAGCTAAACGGTGCAATATTAATAGAACTCAAAAACTGAACATTCTCTGAAGGACAATTTCAACCCTGCACTCATATTACAATCAGGCAAGAGTAAAATGAGTCTTCTTCAAAATCTAGCTCTAGCACTTTGAAATTTCCTACAAGAAAAGCAGAAATGAGCCCTTAATTTCTGAATCAAAACTAGTCTTGAGATACTAATAAGAAGTGCAACATTTACTAGAGCAACCACAGGCAAGATTTCTGATGTATTAACAATCAAATCTACTGTAAAGTAAATTGGCTTAAAGAACTGTCAGCTGCACCTGGTTTTGCTTAATGAAAATGTTCAGTCTCCATCCCCAACAATCCCATCTTTGGGATCAAATCAGAAATTAGTAATACCATTAATGAAATACCAAAGCAGTACATTTGCTTATATTTCACTTTTAAGAACTGGAAATAACAAGAAGAAGATATATACAGTAAGAGTGATTTCCAAATGAAATAAATCACATTTCACATAACAAGGTTATCATTAATTTTTACAAATTTATTTCTTTACAAATGACTAGGGTACATTCTGAAAATATCTACATACTGAAGACTAAAATCTTACATCGCTAATTCTTAACATGGACATGCATATTCTTTAGCCATCAAAACCTGGCAGCACAGTTGCACAAACGTCATTTATTTCATAACCATTTAGCTCCAAGTCATTGTGTATTGTATATAGTACACAAACTCATCTAAATTCTGGTGTGGTGCAAAATCCACAAAAGAGGCAATAAATAACCCCTGTTTGGAAGGATAGCACTCACAGCATCCCTTTTTTCTCTCTGCTAGGACTTAAACATTTTCATTCTCAAGCAGTGTTCTTTTCACTGCTGAAAAGGACTACGCAACTAGGAACATTTTTTGTGTGTGCATGCGACTGAAGAGACAAATCTAGTTATACAAGACATAAACAGAATTAGGTTTGGAATATTGCCAGAATGTTGAAACGTTTCACATCATTTTCTACAGTCTTTAAAAATCTTTTTTTCCCTGACTACTTGCGCTTTCCTCCTAATTTTTTATTGATGTTAAAAAAATCCATTAATTCATTTATAGCAGTTAATTGAAGGTAGACTTTGGCCCTTTATTCCCTTCCTCACCATGAAGATCCACACGGGGCAAATGCATATTTTTGTGTGGGTCAGCTATATACTGCATAGCCAATCCCATGTAGAGTGAAAGCCTATTTAGCTGTGTGACTCTCAATTTTTGTTTTGAGACACTATTTTCACTAAACCACCTGACACCATTAGATACATTTTAGAACTGAAAGTTGGCAAAAAATGACATGAAAATGTGTTTTCTAAAATGCATGTCTGTTGCTACTATCTCTCATCTTTCTCTGTTCATGTTATTTCCCCACAGAACAAACACACTGCTCATCAGTGTTTATGTTTTCCCAGAATATCATCATTTCCTGTAATGCTGAAGGAAGGTGAGTATTCAGCTGGCTGAATGCAAAACTGAGAAAATTATCTGGGAGCTGAGACATTAGTTATTCTTGACTGATTCAAGATACTAGCCAAGAGTCATATGGTCAAAGAGCATATATCAACTGCAATAAACAGATTCCCATTCATCCAAACAACACTGCCCCAGATCTCACGTCTGCAGAGGTTATCGGAAACTGAACCTAGTCAAATTCAACTTCTCTCAGAACTCAGACACAGGCCACTAGTTAAGGTAGGGAGGCTTAAGATGACTTCAGCCCCTTTCAGCAACTTAGTGTCAGCTTATATGATATGTTGCTGTAGTCATACAAAAGAGGTAGCCATGAAGTCAGTTTTTAGTACAGATTTTCCAGCTCTTGTCTAACTTCATCAAGTCCATATAAGCTATTCGTGCAAGGTGACCTTTTGTTTACTTTTTTTTTTTTTTTTTGCTTTCCAATAGCACCCACCTGCCCCACACATACACCTATCTCCCAAAGAAAAGGAGAAAAAGATGAGGAAAAAAGATGACCAGTAGTCAAGTCAGCCACATCAAAACTGCAGAGAACTAAGAGAAAACAGGCTAAGAGGAGGCCTAAAATACAGAGGCTAAAAAGAGAACCACTATAGTGGTACAAGACATCAGAAATAAGTAGAGACCAGACACTGGTAGGTCCACATCAGTGTACATTTTCTTCCCAAAAATATCATAACACTGTGTCCCACAAGGTAATGGATGAGACTATTTGAATCTTCCAGAAAACTTACATGAATTACTACAAAACCACATGTATCACTAAGTAATTTAGAATAATCTCACTTTTTCTAGAAGCGTGGTGAGACAGAATTTGAGGGGGCACGTAGGGATGGGGATCTCTCCCCCCATCCCTCACCACCAAGACCCACCCTTGGCAGTCTTCACCCCGTGTGTGGTGAGCAGTGCAAAGTACTGCCGAAAGCACTGGATTTTCCCCATGTTTCTGTGATGCCTAAAGCCCTACTACTGCACAACTCCCTTATCAACTCCTTTTCTGAAAGCCAGAGACACCACTGACTCCTTACACAACATGCCCTTACACGACACCTCTGCTCTGGGCCTTTGGGAGGGAGAATGGATGGCAGTGGCAGTAATCAGACAGGAGGGTGGAGAAGGCGTACACGCGTAACAGGGGTGGACACCACGACTATCACTAATAGCTTTGCTATCATAATCTGATACTGGCAGCATGGTGTTAGTCTATCACTTCTCACTACTGATGAAATACCAGAAGCGGCCTTGTTTAACGTAACATCTTCCCTAGTGCTCTCTCTACCAGAATATGATTTGCAAGGGCTCTGAAGCATAGCTGTTGTGAAGGAAGAATTCCTAAAAGACAGCCATTTTAGCCCATCAGATGCCAGGTGTGTTTTCAGCCTTCTGGTTTAGATCAGCCATCAGAGGAGGAACAAGCTAATACCTTGCTCTAGCCAATGCAAGAGAGCTTATTGCCCTTTCCAATAGCCTTACAACCACAGGGTTGAAACTGCTCAATGAAGTTAATGAAGAACTGAGCGAGTATTTCATGCCACGCTGAAATGTAATTCTAAATTAGGAACAATTTCAGCTCCTAAACAAGAGACAGTTGAGTCAGTAATTGCTTTTGTTATAGCGATAGATAACCTTAATCCAGTACTGTGACTGTGGAAAATAAACATCTCTGAACTTGTATGAACATATTGGAGGTCTGAGGGACAGCTGACTATTCAAAGGACTGCAGAACATCAACTGAAGACAGCTAAGAACTGTTCTTCAAAATCAGTGAGCAAAGACAATGCAGGCCTTCTGCAGAAACAACTTTAAGGAGGAACGTCACTGTAGACATGAAAATGAACAAGGATGCCCAGAATTTATTAAGAAGTTGACAGCTGCAGGGCTAACAGGAAAAGAAAGTTTATAGAAGCTTTTCAAGATACACTACACACAGCATTAATAATTATAGGAAAAAAAACTGTAAAAAAATAAAAGAAAAGTAAACTAGAGATCTCAGGGAATTTATGATCCACTAAAGAACTGGACACAAAAAAAGTCAGAAACTTCTGTGAAATTGCACTCAGTGTTTTCTAAAGGTTTTACCATAAGTCAAAGTCTGCTGCTCAAAGTTCAGACTCATTATTGAGCACCAGACTATATGAAGGAGCAAAAGCACTACAAATTGCAATAACACAGCTAAATAGCTCCTGGACTGAGCAAACAACTCTAACAAACAGCTTGCATCGTTTAATGATTCCCATGCTCATTTAAAAAAAGATCAACTCAAACTTACTAAAATTTCATTTATCATGCACACATGTCAGTAAACCATGACTGATCTTTATTACCCAGAGAATACTACATATCTTGCTGAGGTTACTTCTCAAGATCCATCAGCCTTATCATAGTTCTTGCCACAGCAGCAAGCACGTGGAGAGTCATGCCTACCTTTGTGAATTCCAGGATTCCAGAAGAAGTCATCCAGATAGTGACCCTTAGCTGCCCTAAAAGTTTTCACAATGATTCCCGTGTTTCTCTTAAATTACCTTCAGTCCCCAGTTTTATCAAGGAACAGTAGAATAGAATATTTTAAACACAAAAAGCATTTTCTAAGTTTTCATCTTGTGTTACTAGCATTCCGGTCAAATTGCTATAGTATATGGATCCATCCTTGCAGCAGTGCAAATGGAGATCTCCTACCCCAATAGGTCTCCCTGCCAAACAGACATTTGCTGATTTCCTGAATTCAGAGTTCAAAAAGGTATCTCCATGAAACTTCCCAGAGGAACAACTTTGCTGAGCACCAGAAGGAGAATTCTAAATTTAAAAGATTAGACCAAGAGAAAGAGAAAGAGGGGCTTGTTCCTTGCTACTGCAAGTACTAATTTAAAGAATTAAAAAAAAAAAAATCCAAGTCTGTTCATTATATTGACTAAACAGTAACGTGTTTGCCTGCCTGTCAACCTGCTGCCATTTTGTGAGACTACGTGTGTTACACAGAGAACATGCCCTTTTATGGGGATTTTATTTCTGGTCTTATCAAATCAGATCTTTTTTTGTCCTAGTTGCTCTGTGCATTGTTCAGAAAAGAAAAACACCACTACAGTTAGTGCAAGAAGCTGCCAACAGCACAAATGATTTTTTCTGACATCTGGAATGAAATCAGGAAAAACAAAGAAAGTCTGCTTAGGAAGATTCTCAGGTCATGAAGAGTTTTCACCTCTTTGAAATATAAGAAATAAATAAAGCTCTGAAATTATGTCAGAGCACCTGGATCATAAAATACATACCTATTTTGTTA